TCTCTTACGTTGAGCTTCTCCTGCATGGGGGATGGCATAGACCTGAAAGTTGGCAGGCTAGGGCTGGATAAGGTTGGAAGGATGGCAAGAAGCAAAGGATGGGAGCAGACTATGTCCAGGAGAAGGAAATAAGAGTGAAAAGTTGGCAAAACCATACATGTCATGTAATCCACAAGAGAGAACAGACCTGCCAATGGGAGATAAGGCAAAAAAGTGAAGAACTGGAATAGCACAGGGGCAGGGAGGTAAATAAAGCTCAGAAGGCAGCATGAAGTCCAGGGAATCTGCAGAGAATGTGGCAGGGAGGCCCAGGGGTTACTTTTATTTTGCACAGGTCATGTATGGGGAGAGGCCTGGTTTAAAGGCATAGGGTGAAAGTCATTACTTAGTAATTGTTTTCCTTCGTGGAGGGGGAATTGTGGATTTTAAGGAGAGAAGATAAGAGGCCCCGTGTTCAAAAAGGAATGTGACATGGTAAGGAAGGTGGGTAAATGAAATTCTGCAAAAACCTTAGTGATATTTCCAAAATTGGCGACAGAGCTGTTGAGATATAGATAACTAAGGAAGAACACAATGTGTCATATTTGGAGCCCCTCTCATTTCAGTCAAAGAACTGCTAAGTTTTATGCAAAATAACAGCAGGACAAATGATTATTATTTGAATATGATGTGATTTTACATCTAGGAAGCCTAAGAGAATTAACTAATGAGACTACTAGAGAGAAAAAGACAATTTGGTCAGGTGGTCAGTAATAAAACTAAATTACGTATAGGTTTGAAAATATATTGAAAAAGTTAAAGATGCAATTCAAATCCATTTAATAACAGCAGACATCATAAAATAATTAGGGGTCAACTTGATAAGTGAAACACTTAAATGAAGAAAACCATAAAGCTTTACTAAGAGATATTTTAAAAAGACATATAAGAGAAGATAAATATATGCCAACTCAGTGACTTGGGAGGCCGAGGCAAAAGGATTGCTTGAAGGCAGGAGTTTGAGATCAGCCTGGGCAATATAGTGAGATCCCATCTCTACAAAATAGTTTAGAAAATTAGCCAGGCATAGTGGCATGTGCCTGTAGTCCTAATTACTCAGGAGGCTGAGGGGGAGAGCTGCTAGAGCCCCAGGGGTTCAAGGTTGTAGTGAGCTAGGATCACAGCACTGCACACCAGCCTGGGTGACAGAGACAGACCCTGTCTCAGAAAATGTATATATTTATGGATTATATATTTATATATAATTATGATAATATATAATTAATAGCACATAATTAGTATATTTTTATTATATATAAATAAATGTATATATATTTAAGAGACAAGATATACCTAATTTTGGATAAGAAGATTCAATCTTACAAAAATGTCAAATTGTATTTAGATTTTTTCTAACATAAAAGAGTTCATTCAAAATTCAACAAGTTTTTTTTCCCCCCTGGGAACTTCAAAAAAGTTTATTTTAAAAAGTACATATGTTAAAAGATCCAAGAAAATACAAAAACAAAGATACTAAGACAAACGAACGAAAAAGACTGGGTTGGTGATTGTAAAGCTACAGTGTGGTACAGTTATAGACAAAAATGAAAGAAGAGTTTTAAGTACAAAAATATACCCACTTTCTTAATAAACTTGTGGTACGAGAAAGAAACATTTTATTTCACTTGGGGAGAGGTAGTATTGGGAATATTGCCTCTGCATACAGATGGGGTCATGAAAGAATAAATGATTAGTAATAGTTCTCACTGGAAAGTGGGATTGAAAGATCATAATTAGGATTAGGGTTTGCTGTGGCTGACAGAAACCTCAAATACATTGCTGTGGTCTTGAGAAGGTTAAGCATTGCATTTTTTCTTTCCTGAAAAAGTCTAGAGTGGGTGGTGCAGGCTCTTTCTATCTCATTGTTTTTCATTGCATGGATTCACCATGGTCCAAATGAAACCATCTGTGTTCCATCATGAAGCAGGGTAGAAGGAAAAGAATGAAGGGGAACAGAGCAAAAGGTCCACCCACAATGTCCCTTAAAGAAGCTTCTTGGAAACTGCCGCCACTTTCACTTACATCCCATTGGCCAAAACTAAGTCACATGGCCATTCTCAGCAGCAAATGAGTCTGGGAAATGTCCTACATTTGGGGAAACGCTATTTGGGGGCCACTGGCAGTCTCTGCTTCAGGACGGTTGAGTGTTAAAAGGGGGAACACTTACATTTTCTGCTTTGCATACTTCTTCATCCTTTCAGGATTTCCATAGTAAGCATGTCGTACCTGTAAAAAATTTTTAAATAGATATCTTTGAAAAAAAAAAAACAAAAAAGAAAAACACTTGAAGAAAATACTTCAAAATGTTAACAGAGGTGATTGTCTCTCGGTAAAGAGGTTGGATATCCATGCATCTTTATATTATTCTGTATTTCCAAATTTGACTACAATGAGAATGTGTTATTTTTATATTTAGGAAAAAGAATTCCCTCGTACCCCTCTTCCCCCTGCAATAAGGAAAAGAAAGATTCCAGTCCTGTTCATCTAATGAGGTTCAGAATGTCAGAATTATTTCCATTCTTCTTCTTTTACAGAGCAACAGCCTTTGGCATTCTCAATGGATTGTGCAAATTTGGCGCCATCCTGGGAAACACCATATTTGCTTCTTTTGTTGGGATAACCAAAGTGGTCCCCATCCTTCTGGCTGCTGCTTCTCTGGTTGGGGGTGGCCTGATTGCCCTTCGACTGCCAGAGACTCGAGAACAGGTCCTGATGTGAACCGCCTATGGGAAAAGGAAAGGTCAAGAGAATCTTGTCCAGGACACTAAAATGCATCCACACTTCCTGCCTATCACGGTCCAGAGGGCACCTCGGATAACACGCGAGGAGAAGTTGACTTTGTGACCCCTAGTTTAGGACCCACTTCAGCTGTCAATATGTTTGTAACTCAGGTGACTGTTTTGGGGGTGCCCTGAGCCACCCTTAGAATCACAGAGCTGCGTGTTTAATTTCAGGTCTTCCCAGTCCAAGGCAGGGAGAGGATTCTCCAGTGAGTGCACACACTATGCGAGGAGTAAGCATTTCTGTAAGTCAAGTGCAAGGACTTACTTGCATTTCCAAAGGAATTAGAGGGTAAGAAATACCCAAGCTCCTCCATAAAGCTCCTTGGAGCCCAACAACTTAACAAATCAACTTGGCTGGAAGTTAGAGTCATTATATGAAGATTGGGCTTGAAGTACAGGATACATATATTTTTGCATTTAAAAGTATCACCTATCATATTTTCCACTCAAATACTGGCATGGTAGCATTGAGAATACTCTGATCTGGAAAGCCAAATATTTGAGCAACATCTATAGAGATCTACTTTTCTCCTAAGTCTCCTAGGCTTTCCATGATAATTAGGTGATACATTTAAGAAGGATATTTATTTCTGTTTTGCTCTATTCAAAGAAATTGAATGGGTTAGGTATTCTGTAAACTAAGTTTGTATATAACTTTATTTGGGTTTAATTTCCACAACTGGTATCTGCAAATATTGCCAGCATTTTAGCCATATTTTGGGAGAACTTGGTGTTTGAGGTCCCAGGAAATGAGGTCTGATCAAACGAAATGCAAGCACAATTTCTTAGAGCCATTTAACTTTCTGCTGGGAGGATATACTTAACAAACTCACGTTGTGCAGTCCACTTAATCCAGCCACTTTCTTTGTGCAGTTGGAGCGAGTAGTTACTTCTCTCTCTTACACAGATGACTTGTGAAACTCAAGCTTACCATCTTCAGTGCTGGCATTTTACTTTGCCACTCACCCCAAAACAACGTGAGATGTGTTCAGTGGCCTCTGGTACTCTTTCTGGCAAGAATCAAACAATGTGGGGACTGAGGGAGGGATGGGGAAGTGTAGCCACAGTTCTTCCAAGTGTAAATACTTTTTGTTTGTTCTAGCGGTAAATGCAAATGCAATCCATATTTGTTAGAATGGTTGGGTCTCATGAGAAGTCTATGCTATGTGTCCAGGGCTTTTGAAACAGAGTCCATTGGAGTGGGAGTTAGGGAGTGTAGTGGATGCCAAATATGTCTTTCTTCAGTGCTTAAGAGAACTCTTTCCTGAAATCCAGTTTTGAACATAAACAGGGGTGTGGGTTGGGGGAGGAGCCTAGGACAAACCTGTCTGATGAAGGTCAGCAATAGACTGAAGTCTTGACTGCATGGAAGAGGAACAACATCAGAAGTGTCTGACAATGGAGGGGACAGTGAGCTATGCACAACCGCCAGTGGAGGTGAACTTGAACCTGCCCAGGCCGAATGAACATCAGCCTGCAAGAACTAGTTCTTTGAATTGATTTGCAATGCTCTCAATGGCTATAAAGTGCCACATTTTCCCTGTCAGAGATCTCCAAAAATTTCAAACAGAAGAATAATGGCTGCATCGAGTGTTTTCTCAGTTTTGGAGAAATGCTTAGGTGATGTGTATAAGAGACAGGAATAATAATGGCTGCATCGAGTGTTTTCTCAGTTTTGGAGAAATGCTTAGGTCCTATGATAGCTTCGGGACAGCTTTCTGTAATTTTCCTCAATTAACGGGTTGGTAGGGGTAAATCTTATGACACCTTTCCACTGTCGATTTGTGATCAGTTTTAATGGTTAAAATGTTTACTCTGCTTCTGTCAACCCTCACTTTTTTATTTACACCCCTCCCTTTTTTTCTGTACAGGGAGAGAAGACATATCGACTCTGACTGGACACCCTGATTCCTCCAAATATATATACCACTGTGTATTAATCTTTCTCTCAGTGTTTTATAGGGGTGCCTAACATAATGCTGTGTCAATAATGAAAGGCTTGATGTAATATAGCTGTAATTTACCTTCCATATGAATGCAGTGGTTAGGTTCATAAAAGAGAATTGTGTGAGTCTGGGATTACCACATCTAAAACATTATTCTTTAATGGGATAATACAATTCATTGAACAGCTACCACTTGAAAAATTTGCAGGACAGTTAGAGCCTGCATTTCTAGTTAAGATGGATCTTGTAAATTTAAAATCGGATTAACTTTTGAGTGCTGGGGTGGCTGCAATAATTTGGGGGCTAACTCCATTTGGTTTCCAAGCTCTCACTTCTGCATTATCTTTACGGGTCTTTAAACCCTGTCTCTTATACACATCTAGATGTGTATAAGAGACAGAAGCTCTCACTTCTGCATTATCTTTACGGGTCTTTAAACCAGCCACCTAACCAATCAGCAATTCCCATCTGATCTATCACTCAGGCTTTTGTAAAGAGTGCAGCCAAGCTCTGCAGACTTTTCTCATGAAGGATTGTCTAGCACGAGTACCTGGCTACTTAAATGCTGTCACTCCTGCTGAGATAAATGCGTCTTTAAAAATAGTCTCTGTGGCAGGTCACTGGGGGACAATGTACAGCATCTGGCCATCCACTTCTTTTTCATTTCATGTTCTACCCCAAGAGACTCCCGATGTCGGCTGTGGAGGGTTAAAAGGATGAGGCTCTCCTTTGTTTAGCAAATCTGTTCACAGTTCATGATGATGTATTTTATGATGCCAAGCTTGGAGATAGTTGCTTTCCGTAGTCCCAACTGTATTGTGTCATCTCCTGATACTGATTTTTGATCTTTTGTTTTATTAAAAATAATTAGTGAAAGAGGTGTGCCTATCTGTGAAGTTTGTAGTACATTATCCTGAAGTTATGTAACAAATAACCCCCAACCCCAGCGTTCCCTGCTACCTTGTGTTCATTAAAACAAAACAATAAAAATAACTGTAAGAAAACCTTAAGAACTGGGGTCAGAGATTATTTTCAGGCACTAGGGTCTCTTCTGTATTCCTAAATTGATTGAATCAGCAGGGAGAAACATCGAGAATCGCTTCCTTCAACTTTTTATTTTGCAACATGGGGACCTCAAGAGGTTAAATGATGTGGCCCAGGTTACATGTAATGTGAAGAGAGGGTGACAAGGCCTAAGGTGATGCTCTTATGACAATTCTGGGGAAGCCTGCAGTTTGGGGAATGGGACAATGTGACACATATTCTCCGTTCCCTGAGACCATTCATTGACTATCCCTTGGTGGTTTTACTAGAATGAGAGGAAGCATCAGTTTAAACATAAAAAAGATTAGTATTCATTCATTCATTCATTCATTCATTCATTCATTCATTCAGCAAATCCTTATTGAGCCCTGACTGTGGGCCAGTCCCTGTGCCAAGTCCTGGGGACATAGTGATGAAAAAACTGGTTACATTTTCTGCCTCCTGCCTCATTCTGCCTCCTGCCTCATTCCACTTACAGGGAGTAGGCAAGATGGATAGTAAATTGGCCATAAACACTGAGGACAATGACCTTACAATCCGCAAAATGCACCTTTCGTTTGTAAAAAGATTGCTACTACTTTACTTGTCAGCTCTGGATCTCCAAATGTGGTGGCTCCCTCCTCTTTTTTTTTTTTCCTTTGAGGAGTGTACCATTTTTTTATCTTTATAAACTAGGTAAGGGAAATGATGCACTTGCCCGTTTTCTACAGACCTAATCGATTTTTACCTAATCAGTTTTACAGAAAGTGTTACATGGAAGAAGAGATAGGGGCCAGGAATGCAAGAGGGACATTGGTGAGTGGGGTAAGAATCCCAGTAGCCCTGGAAAAGGTGTCTCCACTTCCACATCTGGCTTTTCTAGGAGGCATGTGTGCTAAATGACCTGGGATTGTGTTGGATGGCATACGACTGAAAGTTCAAAGAAACCAATTTATAATAAGTTTACAGTTTAGGAAAAAGAATTCCCTTTCACCCCTCATCCCCCTGCAATAAGGAAAAGAAAGAGCCCAGTATCACCTAATTATCGTGGAAATTATTTTACTCTCATATGAAGGGAATCTGGAGGAAGGAAAGCCAGGGCTGGTGTGGCTGCCTTTTGATCCCTGGGAGCACACTCTTGCCTTCAGACTCCTTGATCTTGAGTGCACAGTTTCCATCACTGAGGCTGCCTCGTGGGCTAAGATGGCTATTGAAGCACTGATCCTCGCATCCACATTTCAGGCATGAAGCAGAAGGAAGGGCGATGGGCAAAGGGGCTGTGCCTTGCAGCCGAGCCAGTCTCCCTTTGCTGCAGAGGAGGCAGGGAAATGTGGTATTTACTGGGAACATTGCCGCCCCTCCTCCAAATTGAGGGTCTTGGCTCCAAGGATGAAAGCCGGAAAGGATAGGTGGATCAGTGCTTCTTAAACTTTTGCATGCATCAGAATCACCCAGAAAGATGTTAAAACTCACTCTGCAGGGCCTTACCCCCAGAGATTTGGATTCAGTAAATCTGGGGTGGGGTCTGAAGAATCTACATTTTTTTAACAAGCTCCCAGGTTACATAGATGGTGTCAATTCTCAAGCCATATTTTGAGTAGCACTGACACTCTTCCAATAGGTAGTACTTTCATTTGTCAGGGAAGTTCTATTGCTCTGATAACCTAAAACCAACCCAACCAGAAGCTCACAAAAACTAGCAACCCATGAAAAATGATCATCATTTCCCTAGAGCTCTGAGACAACCAGTGGTAGTGCAACAGTAACCCAAAAATGTCAATGAAAATATTTCCTTCCCCAGAAACTGCTTGGTTTCACTCAGGTCCTGTCCTTACGGGTCTGCGTCTGGTTGCAGGGCTTGAAGTATTTGGGAAGCTTAGCAAAGGGTGAGCCCTTTCCCCTGGGGGTTGGTGATCTTTGTTTTGGCCATTTCCACCTGGTGAAGATTTTCATAGACAAACATGCTTGTGGCATCTTGTAATTCATTGTGCCTTATGATGGGCCTCTGATTCTATAAGCTTCCCCCTAGCTAGGGATCCACGGGGGTGATCAAGATGTGACTGAATGTGAACCTGACCTGCTGACAGTCCACCTGAACTTGCCTACAAATGTCTCTTGAAAAGGATGAAAAGCCTCCTCTTTTAGACAAGGAAGACAGAGTGGGGTAAATTTCTCTACATAGATCTCATTGGAAAACACATTTACAGAATGCAGAATGGCTACTGTGTGTCTTGTGCTATGCTAGGTCTCTCTCTCTACGTGGACTTTGACCCTGTCCGAAACATTGTGCTTTTGTGCGTAGTTGTGTCACATTTAGGCCCAGCCCTAAGAACAGTTTGAAAATAAATCACACACAGCCTTTGATTGTGAGGCAAGCTTAAAGTACATTTTGTTTGATTTGCAGAGGCATGGTGAGGAATTTATATGCATGGCTGTTGTGGCAGCAGTGAGATTTCCAAAAAGATGAATGATGAAATGAAACAGACTGAAGCTATCTCACACATGTTAAATGGAGAAATAAAAGTTGTTATAGTCATTGCTAATTACAGAATGAGCAAGAGATTTATTTAGCGGGACCATACTATGCCCCTTGGAAGGTTCAGTTTATGAGCTGGAGCACAAGGATTTACTGTCATTTCACCTGAAAACACACATTTAGCTGTCCATTTACCTTTAGTCCTACTGACTTAAAATACTTTAAAATTTCAGAAACCATTAATATGTATTCCTTTAGAAAGCAAAGCTCTTTCAGAAGCTGTCCTCTACCAAAGTTAATGTGGTCACCACATTTGATGATTTTGTTAGGTAGGGAGGTTTATTTAATCACAGCTACTGTCACTCAGGAGGATGAGCCATTCAAAAACGATGGCCCTGTCCTCCGCTTCTTACCTACCACATATAATCTCAGTAATTCAGATTTCTCTAAATCAGCATTAGTGATCATTTCAATAGGGTATGAACAAAAGGCCTATAAAAATAGCTTTCCAGCTCGCCATCAAAAATGCAAAAAATGGTAAGTATGTGAGGTAATGCATGTGTTAAATAGCTTGATTTAGTCACCCTACAAGGTGGGTGTGTATATATACAGACATATGTATATATACACATTATGTTGTACACCATAAATATATAGAAATTTTACTAGTCAATTAAAACTACAAATAAAGTGGCTTTCCAGAAAAATTAGATATTGGACTCTATTACAAAGGAATTGCATAAAAATACTTATTACAAACATAACTAAAAGCAGTTGATGAGCAAATTACAAATGACTGTTTTTTATTAAAGCATTCCTCCAAAAGAAAGGGAAAGCAAATTCTATAGACATCCAAAATACTGAAAGTGACAAAACAATACTTCTTTAAAATGTATTTTATGATATATTGATTGATATTCGAGTGGTTTTAAGTAGGATAATTTTCCAAAACCTAAGTGCTACATATTTTACAGTGGAAATATCAACCTTATCATGAGCTAAAGATTTGCAATCAGAATGTTGGTAGTGCATTGCTAAGTTACGACAAGTGTCACAGGACAAGGATATTTGGTAGGTATCCTTAAATATATAGATGCTTACCAGTAGGTTTAATAGATGATTTCTGAAAGGTAGCCCAACTTTTTATTTCATTTTTTTATTTTTATTTTTATTTTGTTTTTGAGACAGAGTCTCACTCTGTCATCCAGGCTGGAGTGCAGTGACGCGATTTTGGCTTGCTGCAACTCCACCTCCTGGGTTCAAGTGATTCTCCCACCTCAGCCTCCCTAGTAGCTGGGGTTACAGGCATGCACCACCATACCTGGCTAATTTTTGCATTTTTAGTAGA